TGAAAAAAGTGATATGTGTGCAATCAATGAATAATAAAAATGTATTTATAGGTGATAGTTTTAAAATTTTAGGGGAGGGGTGGTATTTTCACAAAAAATTATAAAATGGGTGGTATTTTGAGCTATTTCCTTTTTTTTATAACATATGTTATTCTTATTATTAATGTGAGAATTATTTGTATAATACGTGAATTTTATGTGTCTTATTGAAATTTTTGTAAAAAATATGTGCATTAAACATTACAAATACGTACGTGCATGTATAATATGACAATTGTACGTTTGTTTTTTAAAAAAAATGTGAGACGTGTATAACACGAATGTATTATTGAAAAATATATATGTAAAAGCCTATATCCGCTTGTCTATACTATTTGTTAAAGACAATTTAAAAATAATAATAATCCGTGAAACCGGCCGGCTATACTATTTTTTAAAAAATTAGAAAAAAATGGAGTATTACCGCACGGCTATACTTGCAATCGTCGTATAGCCAAATGGCTATACTATTTAAATACATTATTTTTAAAAGGTAAAGCCACCCGGCTACACTATTTAATAAACAAATTTTTTTTTAAAAAGGACCCTCCTATTTGCATTAGTTTGCACTTTATGTGTGTGTGTGTGTGTGTGTGTATATATGTAAAAGCCTATAGCCGCTCCTCTATACTATTTAATAAAGACCATTTAAAAAAAATTAAATTTATTTTAAAAACAGTAGAGCCGCCCAGCTATACTGTTTTAAACAAACATGAAAAATAAGTATAGCCGGTCGGCTGTACTATTTTTTAATATATAAAAAAGTGGAACCCCCAGCGATAGGCACCACGTGTCAACAGAAGTCTATGTTTTTAAAACAAATTAAAAACACGGAGTACAGCCATGTCGCTGTACTATTTTTTTATTATTATTTAAAGAATACCCTCTATCTACTAGGTCCCACATGTCAAAAAAAAAAAAGGTAGAGCCGAACGGCTATACTATTTTTGAAAAAAATTATATATAAAAAAAATCAAGTACAGCCTGAAGAGCGCAAATGCGCCCACGTGTAAAATAGTATAGCCATACTGCGATACTATTTTTTAAAAAAAAAATTAATGAGTATAGCCCGGCAGCTGCTGTTCTATTTTTTTAATATAAAAAATACAAATTTATAAATAAACCCAATCCTAGACATGTATTTATAAAAAAACCCAAACACTATTTAAACATAGAAACACACCCAAAATCAACCCCAAAGTCAACAATTGTATATTTTTTGGGTGTGTTTATAAATGGGTTTTGAGTGTGTGTAATGATAGGTTTTGGGTGTGTTTATAAAGTGTTTTGGGTGTTGGGTTTTTTTATAATTTCAGCTCCTATTTTGGGTGTTTTAGTGAAACTCCCTATAAAAAAATGGACCCCTCAGCGATAGGCGCCACGTGTCAATAGAAGTATTTTTATAAAAATTAGAAAAAAAAGAATACCCTCTATCAATTAGGCTCCACGTGTCAATAATAAGTATAGTTGCCCTGCTATACGATTTAAATACATTATTTTTTAAAAAAGTAAAGCCAACTGGCTATACTATTTACTAAAATTTAAAATTTTAAAAAAAGTACCCTCCTATTTGCATTAGTTTGTACTTTATAGATCTTAATTTGCTAGTTTCAACATATCCATAGTAGATATTAATCTTCCACTATATAATATCTCAATATATTTTTTATAACATATGTTATTCTTATTCAATAATATATGAGAATTATTTGTATAATACGCGAATTTTATGTGTCTTACTGAAACTTTGTAAAAAATATGTGTATTAAATGTTAAAAATATGTACGTACATGTACAATACGACTATTCTATGTTTGCTTATTAAAAAAAGTGAGACGTGTATAGAACACTAATATATTATTGAAAAATATAGGTGTGTATATATATATATATGTGTGTGTGTGTGTGTGTGTGTAAAAGCCTATAGCCACTCGTCTATACTATTTAATAAAGATAATTTTTTAAAAAGAAATTTAAAAAAAGTAACGCCTCACGGCTATACGATTTTTGAAAAAAAGAAGAAGAAAAAATCGAGTATAGTAGCATGGCTATACTATTTAAAATGTTTTTAAAAAATGCGTATAGCAGGGCAGCAGTACTATTTTTTAAAATAAAAAAGTGGACCCCCCAGCGGTAGGCGCCACGTGTCAACAAAAGTCTTTTTTTTTTTTATAAATTTGAAACACAAACTATAGCCATTAGCCGTTCAGCTGTACCATTTTAAAATATATATATATACCCTCTACCGATTAGGCACCACATGTCAAAAATACGTATAGCCACCCGACTATACTATTTTTTTTAATAAAAAATCGTCGTATAGCCTCGCGGCTAAACTATTTAAATACATTATTTTTTAAAAGGCAAAGCCGCCTGGCTATACGATTTAATTATTTATATTTTATTTTATTTTTAAAAAGGACTCTCCTATTTGCATTAGTTTGTACTTTATAGATCTTAATTTGGTAGTTTTAACAAATCCAAAGTAGATATTAATCTTCCACTATATAATATTTCAATATATTTTTTATAACATATGTTATTCAATAATATGTGAGAATTATTTGTATAATACGTGAATTTTGTGTGTCTTATTGAAAATTTTGTAAAAAACACGTGTATTAAATGTTAGAAATACGTGCGTACATGTACAATACGACTATTTTATGTTTGCTTATTAAAAAAACGTGAGATGTGCATAGAACACTAATGTATTATTGAAAAATATATGTGCGCATATATATATAGCCGCTCATCTATACTATTTAATAAGGACAATATTTTTTTAAAAAAAACAGTAACATCACACAACGATACTATTTTTTTAAAAAAAATCTCTGCTGTACTCTTAAGGGCGCAAAGGCGTCTACGTGTAAAATAGTATAGCCTTACGGCTACACTGTTTATTTTTTTTTTTATAAAAAATGTGTATAGCCGGCCGGCTGTACTATTTTTTAATATAAAAAAGGGACCCCAACGATAGGTGCCACGTGTCAATAGAAGTCTATTTTTAAAATAAAAAATAAAAAACACGAAGTATAGCCGTGCGGCTATACTATGTTTTTACCCAAGTGTAGAATAGTATAGCCGTACGGCTATACTGGTTTTAAAACAATTAAAAATGGAGTACAGCCGGACGGCTATACTATTTTTTTTAATACCTAAAACCTATTAAATGGGAATGGATTCGGAGATGGGGGCAAGGATAAAGAGCGGGGACAGAGATGATATTATCATATTCGGCCCCTACCTGACCCGTTGCCATTCCTGCGTGGAAGGATGATCCATGATTTGGCACTATACGGAAAGCAAAAGGAAGAAGTTCTCTGCAGCCATTTCAAGAAGCCTTCTAAGAGCATCTCCAGCGCTAGACCCAAACTGGGGGGAAAGCAACCCTGGCGAGCCCAAGAGACCTCCAGCGCAGAAAATCCAGCTCGGGCAAGGCGTGGGACCCACCAGCTCGGGCAAGCCCACGGGCTAATCTTGCATGGGCACCAAACCTCGGACTGCTGACGTCAGCAGCTAATTTTCAAAAAAAAATTTACTTTTGGACCCACCAATCCACATTGCCCACTTGTTACAAGCCATGTGGCTTCTCCTGAAGCTTCCGATCAAAAAATCTTGCACAATCCAACGGTTGTCCAATTTTTGGCTTTAAAAAATTGAAAAAATTAGGAAATTTTTTCTATACATACCTACCAATATTGTTCACTTTCCACACCAATTTAATTTCAAAATTTTATCCAAAAATGTTATCTTGATTTTTAGGTGAGGAAGAGCATTTCCAGCAAAGGGCCCAAGGGGAGGGTTGGGGGGGGCAAACTCAAAATGGGGTTTCCAGCAACAAAGATCTGCCAGGGCAAGGAGTGGGGCCCAGCTACCTGGGCTGGCCCGAGCGCCAGCCCGAGGGCAATCTGACGTCAGCGCGCTACAGTGCCCGCTACAGTGCTCCCTTTGCCTAATAAAAAAATATAAAAAATCGAAAAAATTGTAAAAAATACTGAAATTTTTTTCTATAAATACCAACCAATACTCTTCACTTTTAACACCAGCAGCCAATATATTTGTAATAAAAAATTGAAAAAAATACCAAAAAATTACTTCTTTTTTATTTATTTATTTTTTTTTCTCTCTATACCTTATTTCCATTTTCAACATTTAAGTAAATGTCTTTGTCCTTTTACTTTTATTTATTTTTATATTACTCCATTTACTTAAGTTTACAATGTAAATAAGGAAGTACCCCCCATTTGGATTCAAATAAAAATACTAGAAAATCAAATTCCCACCAAAT